ATCAAAAGGCCCAAGTCCACGGGACTGTCCTAGGGTCCGCAGGTAGCAGGGGTTCGATCTGCAGACCTGTCGGGTAGGAGTCTTAGCAAGGTCTAGAAGTCGTAGCTGTAGCTCCTCCGAAAGGTCAAGGTCGTAGCTGCTACAGTCCTGAAGGGTCAAGGTCCTACCTGCTACAGTATCGAAAGGCCCCCCAAGTCCACGGCCTTCCAGAAGGTCCTAGTAGTGGCCTTTCGAAGTTGCCCACGTTTAGGCTGAGGCAAGTGGGCAAGTGGTGGAGTCTACCCGTGCTGAGTCAGCAGTCCCAGTCCAAGTCAGTCCCTAGTCCAGTCAAGCAAGTACTGTATGGGACTGTGTGCTCCAGGGGCATGGGAAAGGGGCAGACCAACGAGATACAGAAGTATAAATCAAGAGGCAGCGCCCAACCATTCATTCATTCATTCCTGCATGAGCACAGCGACTTGTGCGAGGTGGTCTGCAGTGAGCCGAAGACGAAGTGGGCGAGAGAAGGAGCTGCTTAGCCATAGCCATAGGGTAGTAGCGGCCATAGCTGCCATAGCTGATAGGAAGGTGTAGCGTGTATGTGTGTGCGCGTGTATACAGTGTGGTGCGTGTGGGATATCCAGGGTGATCCTGTGTTTGTGTGAGCAGAGAGTTGAGCCGCTGTGATGCCATAGTCATCTGAAGTGAACTTGTATCTGAACTGTGTTTTTGGTTTCCATATCTCTGAGTTCTGCGTAGGCGCTTGTCGCCAGTTTGCTGTGCAACCTGTTTGCATGCATGAGGAGTGTGAATGAGAGCGAGTCTGATTGCAGACCGCCCTTTGGTAAATTTTCAGAATCAAAGTATTTTTTACTCATCTCTGCTTCCACTGGAGTTCGAACTCAGCACCTGGTCTGGTCTGTATTTTTTTTTTTTTTTTCCATATAAATTTCTCTTCTTTTTCTTCATTCTCTCGTTTTATAAAAGGGCGACGGCCTTGAGATATCATCATTGAGCTGACCGGCCCCAAGCAATTCGTTAGTAGTTGGTTTTACTCGTCAAGTTCCATCATCTGGATTTGAACACAGGTCTGTATTTTAACAGTTCATGGGTGTACCCGCTGAGCTAGGCTCTTGGGTTCTGGTCTGTATTTCCACAACAGGCCGGCCTTTGGTAATTCACACCTCAGCGGTTGTTGAAATACGGACCAGGTGCTGAGTTCGAACTCCAGAGAAGGCGAGCCAGCAGTTTTTTTTTTTTTTTTTTTTCCAATTTGGACCATTTCTCGATTTATGCGTGTTATCCTTACTTGCCCAGGAGCCGTTTGCTAATCTTTCTCCCAGTCCTCTGTATTGTTCCAATTTTGACGGATGTCCCGAAGGACAGTTG